GGGAACATTTTCAGATTGATTGACCTACCCACTATTGAGAAATAAGCGTAGTTAAGTTTCTCAATTACTTTAGTCAATAGATTGAATATAATTTCGAATTCCATTTTCAAAATATTCTAATATATTGGATGATAAGTATCCATAAAGTAGTAGTAGCATATAAATATGTCACAGTCTGCGATTAGTTCACATTCTACTTAGACAATAAAAGCATAAAGTATTAGGGACATCACAGATCGAACACTTTTATCACCTGTTTCAGTCGTCTTATATTATGTCCTGAAAATACTTTTGGTACATTGGATTATTGCATCATGTCCTACGTCCTCTTTATTACCGAAACGTAATTACTACCTTGATATGGTAGTCAAGCTTGGACATATTAATAACCCAATTGAGGTATATTGGTTGGAAATTTTTTAGGTATTAAAATACCATTCAGTTCAGTTAGATTCAACGCCGCAACTTAAAGCAAGACGCTGGAGTCATACTACTGACCGTACAAAAGATATAAAGGAGGTAACGTTTTCTTGAGACAACTAACATCTACAAACTTCCTAATGGATTTATCAAATGTTAGCCACAAAAATAGCACATCTCAACTTTCTCCATGGTTTGCCATCTTGATAGTACGACTTTTAAGGTATGTAGCTAAGACATCAAGAACTACTGGTAAAAAGTGTGTGCGTAAGTGTCTTCAAGCAGTTATACCTTAGACTTTTCAATAATACTCTCTGATCGTTGGATCCACTAATGTTCCAGTTCCCTTTTCACATACCACAAAGATAACTATTCTTCCAACATGTGGATAACCAGGAAGTGATAACAGCCTACACACCCCTTAAAGCTCTTAAGATTCCTTTGTTCATGATTATCGTAATTAATAATACTTCTAGGTTAATTACATTGAAATAGTAATGATAATCAATAGCGAACTGGTTAAATGACCATTTTGATCAAGATTAATAAACAACTTTATATGGGAATTTTATGTTTTTGTTTTAATCATTATCAGTGATGAATATATGGTAATGTCTTCAAGCTAGTTTTAAACAGGTATCATTTATTCTTTTAGAGATATGGATCAGAACTGATAACCTATTCAATTATAAATGGTGGTAAATCCAGATGATGAACCCATAATAAGTCGAAATACACATTGCGAACTATACTGTTTCCCTAAATGCATTAATTCTATAAAATGTCTTTATGTCAATTCGTCAGTTATCATACAGTTACCAATGTAATGGAACATTTTCTTTACTTTTGATGAAACTGAATTCTGATCATTAAGCTAATCAACTCAAAATCTTACAAAACTCTAATCAACTCCTAACAATGTATATGGTTAACAATGATGTTCACTTATTTAATTCACGCCATACAAGACAACTCACCAACTCATTCGAGGTACAGACCGGTGTTAGACAATGTTACTTACTCTCACCCTTTCTCTTTCTTCTGGTGATCGACTGGATCATGAAGACGTCAACAACTGTAGGAAAGCACGGGATACAGTAGGCAGTTAGGATGCAGCTGGACGATTTAGACTTTGCAGACGATTTGGTTTCTCTATCACATACGCAACAACAAATACAGGAGAAGACGACCAGTGTAGCATAAGCCTCAGCAGCAGTAGGTTTCAATATAAACAAAAGGAAAAACAAGACATAAAAATGAAGAAAAATTGGATAGAACTAGAAAAGAAGGTCCAGGAAAGAGTGGGTTGGAGAATGATAGTCGGTGGCCTATGTTTTATTGGGAATAAGAGGCGTAAGTAAGTATGTATCTGATTCATGAGTTATATCATTAAGTTTGATTGGTAGACTAACGCTTACTTATTTACTTACTTTCGCCTGTTGCTCCCAATGGAGCATAGGCCGCCGACCAGCTTTCTCCAATCCACTCTGTCCTGAGCCTTCTTTTCTAGTTCTATCCAGTTCTTGTTCATTCTTCTCATGTCTGTCTCTATTTCTCGGCGTAATGTGTTCTTTGGTCTGCATCTTCTTCTTTGACCTTCAGGATTCCATGTAAGGGCTTGTCTTGTGACGCAATTAGGTGATTTCCTCAAAGTATGCCCAATCCACTTCCAGATTTCTTCCTGCGCTGGAATCTGGTTTGTTGTCTCCCACAGTAGCTTGTTGCTGATACTGTCTGGCCATCGGATCCGAAGTATCTTGCGTAGACAACTGTTGATAAACACCTGTATCTTCTGGATGATGGCTTGCGTAGTTTTCCAGTTTTCTGCACCATACAGTAGAACTGTCTTCACATTTGTATTGAAAATTCTAACCTTGGTGTTGGTTGACAATTGTTTTGAGCTCCAGATGTTTTTCAGTTGTAGGTATGCTGCTCTTGCTTTGCCGATCCGCGCCCTCACATCTGCATCTGATCCACCGAGTTCATCAATTATGCTGCCCAGATATGTAAAGGTTTCCACATCCTCCAAAGCTTCTCCATCAAGTGTAACTTGATTGGTGCATATTGTATTGTATCGTAGAGTCTTGCTTTTCCCTTTGTTTATATTGAGACCTACTGCTGCTGAGGCTGCTGCTACACTGGTAGTTTTCTCCTGCATTTGTTGTTGCGTTTGTGATAGAAGAGCCAGATCATCCACGAAGTCTAAATCGTCAAGCTGCATCCTGCCTGTCCACTGTATCCCGTGCTTTCCTACAGTTGTTGACGTCTTCATGATCCAGCCGATCACCAGGAGAAAGAAAAGGTTGAGAGTAAGTAACATTGTCTAACACCGGTCTTTACCTCGAATGAGTCGTTGAGTTGTCCTCCGTGAACAATTTGGCAGTTTAGTCCATCATAGGAGTTCCGTATGGTATCGACTATTTTCTCAGGCACGCCGTAGTGTCGAAGAAGCCTCCATAATGTCGTCCTGTCCACACTATCAAATGCCTTCTCGTAGTCGATGAAGTTGATGTAGAGTGATGAATTCCATTCGATTGATTGTTCCACAATAATACGTAGAGTTGCGATTTGATCTGTGCACGATCTATCCTCACGAAATCCACCCTGTTGATCTCGAAGTTGGGCGTCTACGGAATCCTTCATCCTGTTTAACAATACCCTGTTGAAGACTTTTCCTGTTACTGAGAGAAGAGTGATGCCCCTGTAGTTGTCGCACTTGCTGAGATCGCCTTTCTTTGTTATCTTGATCAGAAGTTCATTTTTCCAGTCTGTTTGTACTTGTTTTTTATCCCAAATCTTACTGAAGAGAGTGTGGGATATCTTTGCAGTTGCTGCTACATCTGCTTTCAGTGCCTCTGCCGGAATGTTGTCTGGTCCCGCCGCAACTTAGTTTTAACAATACTCGATAATTAAGTTAAATATAAGAATTTTAAATCTGTGCATGGAAACTAGTTTCCTTGGATTTACAAATACAACCATATGATCCTTAATCCTTACACAAATGTAAAACAAAAATTCATTAAGTTTTTCAAAGTCACCTACAATAGATTAAACATGAATATCAAGGTTTTCACCTTAAAATGTAATGAACCGAGAATACTAATGATTACATTTTAGTTTAGTATATTTCACGTTCTTGATAGAATTTGATCACAACTAAAGCCTGAACCATCGTGGCATTGATCATTATGCAGTAGTTAATTAGTCGTTAATATCTTAGTCCCATTATAAATCAATTATTGTTCGAATAGCATTTCATAGATAAAAAATCACACAAAGAGCACCAGTCCTTCAAAATTTGAAAAGACAGCCTAATAATGATTAGGGTTAAACATTATGAAACCTTAATCAAGCAGAATTTCTTGTAGATTACATTCCATTATTTAACATAAAAATACTAAATAACTTGATAATAATAAAAGATATTTGTTCTTGAGATGGTATAGAAGATTTGTAGCTTAGGTGGATGATTTTGATGAAGTTTTGTTCTCTAAGCTGGATGGTTTGATCGTCGAGCTTAAATCATCCTTCCGAATGACATCATCAGCACAAACTTTGGGTAGAAGTTGTTCTTTTCTAACTTTGAGTTTGACGCATTTGTTTTATAATTCATAGCATATTATTTTCCCAATCAATTTTTTTTAGTCAAAAGGAGTTTTGTGGAGATTTCAGTATTTTTCAAAGTTGAAATCATTAGTCAATTGAAGCTAGACCACAATGGAAAACCTGGAAGCACTGGACGGCCGTTTAGTTCCATTGTGAGACTACTCAGCAGTACGCATCCACGATCCCGCACTCGCGAGAATCGAAACCAGGACGTACCAGTCTCGAGCCAGAGCCCTTAACCGATTCATATCTACCATAACATACTTGCTAATTCTAAAGTAACTATTTTTTGTTTTCATTAACTTATCCATTCAATAAAATCGTTAATGTAAACGATTGACTTCATTTTAGGTGGGAAAAACAAACAATCTTATTTACTTACAAATTAGATTTAACATATTAAGAATATAATGAAAATTAGTTAATATCAAGTTCATTTCAACCCCCTCCCCCTCAGAAACAAAAATTAAAAATAAACATTCTTATTCTGTCTCCACACACATCAATAATTTGTGCGGTTTTTCTTCTTTTTTGTAAAAGTTTATTTTTGTTTTAGTTAGGATCATAAATAAACACAACCAATCTGTAAATAGATATGAACCATTGACCTTGAAGCTCACACTTGGTGTTGATTGGTTAGAATTTTGATTGGTTAATTTTATTGACCAATAAAAATCAAATAGAATGATAGTATTTGTATATGTCAATTAACTAAAAATGAGGGGCAGATTTTTATAAAAATGGAAAACTATTTTGGTGTTTAACAATTCACATTCATACAAGGATATTAAATCTTACTATCATTACACAGATTCATATAGAAATATGGATTGTATTCAGTAGATCAAAGAAGAAAAAACAAAACAAACGAAGATTCAAGTCAATAACAATCTATTCATACAACAATTCATTGAAGTTAGAAGAAGTTGACATTTGCTGAAATTCTAGAAGAAAGAAAAACTCTTAAAAGAATAATGTCTATTAAAACAAGTCATCCACAAATTATTTTATATTGGATGGAACTGGTTAGTTTATATTCTAATGTTTTTTTTTGGGGGGGGAGGGGGAGGATTTTTCAAAAAATGTAGTATTTCAAGATTAGTTGAAACTGTCATTATTTTTAAATAGGAATAATATATATTCATAGTTGAATTCATTAGTCAATTGAAGCTAGACCACCATGCAAAACCTGGAAGCACTGGACGGTGAGTGCGGGATCGTGGATGCGCACTGCTCAGGAGTCTCACAATAGGACGAAACGGCCTTCCATTACTTCCAGGTTTTCCATGGTGATCTAGATTCAATTGACTCATGATTTCAACTATGAAAATACTAAATTCTTCACAAAACCCCTTCTGATCAATAATATATTTGACAAATCTTAGTGAATGAATTTGAAGTAAATCCGACGTTTCACCTGGCAATCTGATCCTTGAAAAAGCTTGGAGCAGATTGTCAGATGAAATGTTGGATTTACTTCAAATTCATTCGCTGAGATTTTACAAATATATATTCTTCCTATTTAATGTCATACATCAACTCGGCACTCAAATACTGTGAAACTATTCGCCTTAATTTAGACGAAAGTTCTTATATGTCAGTACTTTTAGTTTTTGAATTTTTACTTTATAAATATACAAGTTCCTTGAAGAAACAAGGAATTGGAAAGTCGACTGACATTAAACATTTTATCTAATCATGTATGTCCACTCAAAACTTTATTATCAAGATAGAAAAGTTCTGTTCTAAGAAATGAGATAGATTGTTAATTTAAGAGTTCACTTCGATTCTTATTTATCTAATCATGTACATAATGATTGTAAGGAAGCTATAATTGTATATTCCTACACCGTATATTGATAAATGACATCACGATTGTTATATCTGGCCTATTATGAACGCTATATTCGCTTCCCTAAGCTAGTTCCGTACCCCGAGCTAGAACTATACACTGACTTGAAGACCAGAGAAAAGGCATAAAGTGTGAGGGAAGCACTTTACTACAGGGTTCATTTATGTACAGAAAATACAGGGATTTTATGGTAATTTAAGAGACATTGAGTTTTACCGAAAGTTCTAGAATACTGCTAAACATAGTAGCAGTATGTTAATCAGTCAATCAGGATCTCGTTATTTTAGGCTCTTTATGAGCCTCTGGAGGCTCTGTTAGAGTTCTCCGGAAGCCGACTCAACAAGGATTGTGAGTCTGGATAATGTAAACCTGTTATAAATTCTGTCGGCAATTGTTATACCTTGTGGCCTGCATGCTTAGTTAATATATGACGTGATAATACCGCCAGTTAGAGAGCAGCGATTTATTGATCGGACAAATGACATACAAAACCTGTGCGAACAGTCTAGAGCACTTGTCGATCCTGCTTTCTACCTAACCCAGACAGTTAAGTCCAGAACACCAATAACAGATTCTATAATATGAATCATTTATTTTAAACATACTGGGTTTATACATGAAACAAACAGACCGTATCGTACCATAAAATACAAGATAACATTTGTACAAGACTCAGCCCAAAGTGGCTATGAATGTGGAAGGCAGTAATCAATAGACTTGGGATAACTCAAGAATGGCCAATCGTGTAATAATAGTTCATAGGTCAAAATAAAGCTCATAATAAGGGGGACATGAATAGGAATAGTTAAGTTACTTACCAATTATAAAAAGGAAATATACATATCATATTGATCCATAAACAGTCCTCAAAACTTACCATTTATAATTCTCTTTGTGATCTAACAAAACCCAATCGAGTTTTATCAAAAGAGGATTTTGTAGAGGTTTATAGTGAGTTACTAGTTGAATTTATAAGTCAATTGAAGCTAGACCACCATGGAAAGAGGTGTTTCCTAGAGTACTAGTGAGAAATCGTGATCCCTGGTATTTAACTTTTGTTAATAATAAATCATTGCCCTTTATACATAACTATTATTGGTTATGAAATATGATGACTCCCCTTATGGAAATGGTCTGAATAATGATGTTTTTCAGTCGCATAATAATACGTAAGGTACATTTAATTAGTAAAGGTATAATAAATAAGTTTTAAAATCTTAATAAATCATTGTAGAACATTCATAAATATATTGTATAAATTCAATTAGAATTCAATTAGAATCTTCCCATTGATGTGTAAGACTGCAATTAATCAGTCTCTTATTGGGTATATGGGCATACTGTGCGTATTGCCTCAATATAGCCTTAATTCACAAGCATTATAAACAAAGATGGATAGTGTCTAGTAGTGGAATTCAGAGTGAACATCAACTCTGAGATGCAGGTACATCCGGCTGACGAGTCCCAAATAGAACGAAACGGGCATCAAACTGGATTCCACTGCTAGCTACTATCCATGTTTGCTTACAATATCTTCTATAGTTTTATATATTTAGACCTTCAGTCAACCTGTCAAGTATTAGTCATGATAATAGAAAATGTTTAAGTGATCATATTTATCAGTTGATTTCATTTATTTTATATAACTTATATCCTAGTTTACATAAAACAGATTATTAGCCGATCAGATCGATCTCACAAAGGGTTCAAGCAAATTGACTTTCATCTGGCATTTAAACATAGGTAACAATCTTAAAGGTTTATATATACTGTAAATGTATATAGATATAGTGAAATTATTCAGTTAAAACTTTACTTAGATAATTCTCTGTGTAAATTAAACGTCAATGCTCTGAAATACCGTGGTACGGCTGAGGGTGGGGAGAGTCAGCTTTCATATAGCCACGAGCATACAGCCATTGCCCCAGAAGTCTTACTCACTGACTTCTCGCGGTATTACTATTGTTTACGAAATTGAGAAGACGAAAAGCGAATGTCCGATTCTCTAACAAGGTTGGTGGATATGGAGGATCCATTTAGAGGTATTAGAAAACCGTCATTCCCAACCACTGGTAGATATCGTCTCTAGGATCCTGAAAAACAAATGGTGTATGAATGAGACATATAGGAGTGCATCTCCTTATGTTACTCCTGCAAGTCGAAAGATTGGGGAGTGACCCCATAAGAAAACTACATGCTTCGGTTTGGGTACCCGGCCGCTAGCCCACATACAAATCAATTGACATGCATATCTTCTAAGGCCATTTGTGGAAACGCTAATAAACGACCTATGTACTTTTCGTTACAAACACAGATGAACTGTTATACATATACATTTAGTTAAACTGGTCAGCCATGATAACTTATCCGTTGTACAGAGGTACAGTGGTTTATAAAACAAAGAGTTCCATAAATTCTCGTTCAGACTAACTGTTTAGATGATATTTAAGTAAATCAATAACCTTTTGCTGGCAGACATTTTATTCATGACTAACGTTACATACTACATATGTCGACATAGGTAACTTACACCACACTTATCCCTCCTTTCAATAAGCTATTCTCATAGTTTTTCCGATCGCCATGCTACTGTCTTCTTTGTTTCTATTCATAACTTAGAATCATCATTCTCTTCAAATCCTTTTCTTCAGTTGATTAACATTTACACACTTCTATTTTGTCTTCTTTCTGAATCTCTCCATCACAATATACAATTCTTCCCACTTTGGAATTCACTTCCTTGACCTTGTTCATGTTTCATAATTCAAATTGTTTTCTTTCTTTCTTTTTTTTGTTCAATAAATCAAAACTCTTTTTGTTTTTTGAAATTTTAAATGTTGCGCGCGCGCGCTTTCTGTTGTTGTTGTTCAATATATCAAATAGGTATATCAGTTGCTTATCAAAAATGGAATGAATTGTCAATCATTCAATATTTCAATAGATTTAAAAAACGAACATTAAGAGTTTACTTATTCTCTTGTTTTGTTTTGTTTATATAAAACGTTTATCAGATTAAATCAAAAGGGTATTTATAATATAGAATGAAATAGTCAATGGGTGTACCCATTGATCTACCTTCATATTGTATTCTATTCAAATAATACTAAACTTGTTTGTATTAGGAGTATCGAAAGAAAAATGGAAAGAAAAAGGAAATAATGTAGATTTTATTTTGGAGAAAGTAATGAATGTAAACAAGTATATGACTCTCTTGGTTTCTCATATATTATACAAACATTCCATTCTGTAGTTGTTAGAATGAAGGGGGCATCAGCCTTGTAACTTCCGAAGGAACTCAACTTTTATCATATAATGTTATAACTCTTCTAAATGGAAATCTTCTAACTCTCAGAGGAGATCAGAAGGGATTTTGTGGAGACTTCAGTATTTTTCATAGTTAAAATCATGAGTCAATTGAAGCTAGACCACAATGGAAAACCTGGAAGCACTAGACGGCCGTTTTGTTCTATTATGGGACTCCTCAGCAGTGCGTGTTCACGATCCCAGAGGACAGTTTAAATGCTTTGAATTATTGTATTTAGTTAGTTTTTTTAACCAGTTAGCTTTTTGCGGGATGGGGTTGCTAACTCCATGCTAAAACTTCCTCCTTCATCCGGGCTTAGGACTGGTAGTAGCCCCCAGAAGTGCTCCAGGTGGAGTTACACTTAAGTTGGAAAAAAACTGAATTATTTATTTACTGTAAAATATGAAGAATTTGGATTCAACCTAAAGATATGGACTCGATGTTCTACACTGATTGATCAATGAATAGTCATTTATGTCATGTTGATTGCATCTTTCTTATTGAAATGCTTAAATCAGTCTAAGTGATCTATGGAACACTTCTTTAATACTAACTTCTACTTAAAAAATGGATCAAAATATTCACATATATAATTATTGAATCATTGTCTTATGTTTCAATTTCGTCAATCTTTTGGAAAGTTTTCCAACAATGATCATGTTGGTAATAATCAGTCTTATGTAAGGCTATTTACTAGTCTTAAAAGAATACAGAAAAAATAACTTTCATTCAGTTACGTGACACTTAGTAGGGAACATTTTTTTGAATATTTTGTTGATGGAAAAGCGTAGAAAAATGTATTTACTTACGCCTGTTACCTTTCGTGGAGAAGCATAGGCTGCCCACCAGCACTATTCATTGACCCCTATCCGCCGTCCTTCCTAGTTCTCATGTGTATTTCTGCTTGTAGGCTATAATGCTCTTCTTCACTTGCTTGTTTACTTCTGCATACTCTGCTTGAGACTTGACTTTCTCTGTTCTGGTTCGACTGTTGTTAATTGCTGTCCTCTTGTTCTTCATTTTTTCAAATATGATCTATCTCGTTCTGTGTGGGGTGGTCCGGCGAAATCCATGTAGCTTTGTGTATGCGTTTGTGTGAAAATTTTGTGCCGCCTATAACAAATATGTTGAATGCACATGGATTTGCAAATCACTCCCCATTTTCATTTCTCTCTCTCAGTACATGTCATTCAAGTATAGTCAGTCAGTCAGTCAGTTACAACGTAGAACTTCGTACGTACGTACATCTGTCCGAGTTGCCATACCACATTAGCACAGAGATGAAGTTGTCGATTCAAATCCCATAGTGGTAGAAGTAGTAAAAATATAAGCAGTAATCGAAAACATTACAGTTTGAAGATGTTATTGAAGGAGTATAATACAATGAAATAAATTTGGAAAGAGAAAAAGGATACAGACATGAAGAATTCAGATTAGAATTTGATAGAACACAAAGAGTGGATGCACCTGCGCCACTGCAAACGATTTTGAGCCATGTCATTCAAGGTCTCTAATCATCGGTCGCAATCATCTCGCGAATCCCAACCAGGTAGTCTACACCCACCAACATGGTCCAATCCACTTGTCAGTGACTTCATGGATTTATGCCATGTTTTGGTCTGTCCGCCCCTAGCTTTCTTCCAACCTGCTCCTACACCATAAAGCATTGCACGTCGGGGCAGTCGGTGGTCGGGAATACGTAACACATGTCCCAGCCATCTCAACTGTTAAAGTTTCACTACTCCATCAATCGATTTGCCATCCCTACCTAGTACTCGTTTCCTAACAACTGCATTACTTACCCGGTGGTCCCAGGATATACGAGCAATGCTTCGAAGACACCTATGATCGAACACTAGTAGCCTACGAATATCCTCTACTCTTATTGGCCATGTTTCACTGCCATAAAGTAGGACGGAACGGACTGCTGCACAGTAAACCCGTCCTTTGGTTGCTAGACGGATATCTCGCCTACGCCATAAATGACGCAAGTTGGCGAAAGCTATACGAGCCTTCTGTATCCGTGCTGAGATTTCGTCACACACCAGACCACAAGTGCTGATGAAACTCCCAAGATAAGTGAAGTTGTCAACACGCTCAACTACTTCCCTCCCTATCATTAGTTCAGGTGTCGCTGCAACCCAATCCTGAAGTAACATTTTGCACTTCGAGTGAGAGAATCGCATCCCGAACATGCCTGCATAGTTGCTTATAGTTGTCAGAAGACTATGCATTTTGTCAGCGTCTTCACAGAATAAAACTATGTCATCGACGTATTCTAAGTCAACAAGTGAGCCTCCTGGTAAAAGTTCAACTCCAGGAGATTGAGATGATGAAAGTGGTATCTCTTAAAGCATGTCAATGACATAGTTAAACAAGAATGGGGAGAGTGGACAGCCCTGACGAACACCACTTGAGCTAACCAATTCTGATGACAGTTCGCCATAGGCTCTAACTCGACCAGTTGTGTTCGAGTAGAGAGACTTTATGAGGTTAATGTACTTCTTTGGTACTCCTTTCACTGACAAGCACTGCCATAGAACCTCACGATCAACGGAGTCAAATGCCGCCTTAAGGTCAGGAAATACTACTATTGTGGGACGTCTGAATTTATGTCTATGTTCTAGGACCTGACGTAGAGTGAATATCTGGTCTATGCAACCACGTCAAGGTCGAAAACCAGCCTGGTTTTCTCTAGTCTGCTCTTCACAACATTCAAGTATATCTTCATATCCTATGTTGTCCGCTCCGACTTTAGCATTTAGATCTCCCATCAGGAGGTGAGATCCTTCCTTTAGCCCTTAAATATGGTTGATTGCAGCCTCGAGTACAATTGATCTTTATTGTCGTCGTTGCTATCATTGGTGGGTGAATATCACTGAATAACATTCATTGTAATCCCCTCCTTCTTTGTTTTGAATGATGCTTTGATTATCATGGATCCATGAGATTCCCATCCTACAAGTGCCTTTCGTACTTCTCTGGACAGCATTAAAGCAACTCTTTAAATGTGTGGATTATTTTCTTCTTCATGACCAGAGTACAGCAGCATCTCTCCTGTATCCAGCCTTTGTTGTTCAGCTTGTGTCCAGTGGGTTTCGCTGATTTCAAGTACTACCAATTTATATCTCCTCATTTCCATTGCTATTTGACTAGTCTTTCCGGTCTCCCACATTGTCCGGACGTTCCATGTACCTTTAAAAATTGTTGCTCTGGTTGTTAGAAGGGGCATTAGCCTCGTGACTTCCGAAAAGTCTCGTGCTTTCATCCTGAGGCTTCATAATTCTTCCTTCAACTCCCAGGACAGAGTTTAAATGGTTTAATTTTGTTTAATATGGTTGACGTTCTTTTAACAATATTTATTTCTACGGGATGAAGTCGCTAATGTTATGCCCGACTCTTCTCCTTTACCCGAGCTTGAGACCCGCAGTAACTCTGAAAGATCTACAGGCGGAGTTGTAAGAAGTGTAAATGGGACTTTTTCGTTATTTTAATTTACCGCAAATTTTTGAATTCAAAAATTATCTTCATGTTCATTGGCTTGTAAATAGTTTTAAACCTTCAAGTTAATTTTTCACTATCATTCCATTTTTTTTCTAAGCGGTTTATGTAAATGTGATCAGTTTGTAAATGAAGAAACAAAAAAAAAGTTATTCAGGTCAATTATTGATTGATTGATCAATAAAAGAATAGGCAAATATTTATGGGTACACAATTAATGTGTTACCTTAATTAATATTAATTAGAAGGTTTATCTTTTAGGGTATTGGAGTGGAGATTGTAGCAATTTAATCATTAAATTTATGAGTCAGTTCCAAGTAGATTATCATGAAACATCTGGAAGACTGTTTCGTTCGAGTATGGAATTCCTTAATAGTGCACATTCACCATCCCAGTCGCGGGATTTGAACTCAAGACTTATCGGTCTCTCATCCGAACGATGAACATGTAGACGACTGAGTTGACATCTATTAGTGTTAATGTCTAACTTCAACTAATCTACGAAATCGCACCATCATCCACCATTGCCTTTGGTGGCTTACTATCTTACAAGAGACACAGTTGAACTTCACTAATCACTGCTTTACTCTAGAACTCCAGGAAATACCTCTTGAAGTCAGTCAATAATGAACACATAACAAACAAAACTTTACAAACTGAAGAATCTAAGAATATAACACTTCAAATATTTAATTCACTACAAAATTGAATAATCAACAATAATCCTTTCAGAAGTTAAAACAATCGCGTTGCTTACTCTTTTCTAACACATTACACTTTATACAACTTCATAAAATGCTATTCGTTAGCTTGTAAATGCGCATGATGTGATTATAGTATCATACCCAACTAAATATTTCATATCCAGTAAATTACTGTTAGTATAAATGAATACAAAGATCATTGTTTTATAATCCGGCTGGACCCCTACTGGGGTTACTGCCGGTCCTAAGCCCAAACAAAAGAGAAGGGTTGGGTATAGGATTAGCCACTTCATCCCTTAGAAAACTAACTCACTGAAAGAAAAACACTAACCACAAAAGAAAGTTAGTACAAAATTTGATTTGTATATCACTGTTAGTATAAATGAATACAAAGATAATAGTTTTATAAACCACTTGGAGTCTCTCTGAGATCACTGCCAGTTCCGAACCCGAATAAAGGAGGAGGGTTGGGTAAAAGATTGGCCACCCCATCCAGTAGAAAAGTAACTCACTAGAGAAGTGCTTACCAGAATCGAAAGTGAGTAAAGTAAGTATATAATTTGATTTGTATACAACGATCATAGTTTTATAATCCGCGTGCATCCCCTCCGTGGCTACTACCGGTCCCAAGCCCAAATAAAGCAGAAGGTTTAGGTATGGAGTTAACGACTCTATCTTGTAGATAACTAACTCACTTGAGAAACTCTAACCACAAAAGAAAGTAAGTAAAGTAAGTACATCATTTGATTTGCATTCGTTAGTATAAATGAATACAAAGATCATAGTTTTATAACGGCTCCTTTTGTCCCTTTTTCATTTTAGATTCTTGGTATAATCTGCATTGCATTAGCTGGTAAAGGTTATAATGAATTAGGATTACAATATTTAATTGGAATTGGAACATTTTCATCCATTGGTAATATTGTATTTTTATTATTGTATGGGTTTGCTACAACAAGACCATTGGATGGTTGGTCTATAATTAAATTAATTGTAAGTTCAAATGATAAATTCTCTTGGTATTGCTTTACTTGAATCTTTCTATTGATGTTTAGCACTGCGGTTGATTAATCTCCTGTGCGTATTGCCTTGATATTGTCTTAATTCTAAAGCATTCTAAGCAACGAAGTAAAGTGACTAATAGTGGAATTCAGAACACGCGTTTCATCCAATTCGAGACTCATCAACTGGATATACTTGCATCTCAGAGTTGATGTTCACTCTTGGACTTGAACCCAGTAATTTTCACTTCAAACGCCATCACGTTATCTACTTAGCTACTGATTCCTGATAGCCACTTGCTTGTGCAATGTTGTGAAGTTTAAATTTACTTGGTTTACTTGTTTTACTTGAATCTTCCCATTGATGTTTAGCACTGCAATTGATTAGTCTCTTATTGGCATATGTGCATCCAGTGTGGATTGTCTCGATTTCTCCTTAATTCACAAGCATTATAAGCAAAGAAATGTAGTGACTAATAGTGTAATGCAGGACGCACGTTTCGTCCTACTTCAAATATCCTTACCCCCCCATTTAACCAGCAATCTAAAATGTTGATTTGTAAATAAGCTACTTTTTTAGTAATTTAATAATTAAATTAATGAATCCATTGAAGTTAGACTATCATGGAAAACATAGAAACAATGGATAGCCGTTTACGTCCTAGTATAAGACTCCTTAGCAGTGCGTATTCACAATTCCACTAGCAGGATTCGAACCCAAGACTTATCGATCTTTTTAATAGTTTCCTTTGCAAATTTAAGCAAATCAAGAATTCATTTCATACATTTCTTTTTTTGTTTACTCCATTGCATAAATTCATAAGTCCACTGACAAAATGAACAATATTTGAACGAACAATTGTTTCTCCAATACCGTCATCATCAGCCTCTACATTTATAAGTTCATATTGATTGTGATCTCTTTTATAAAGGCCAAATTGAGGCACGTATTAATGTATTTGACAATGTTATATGTTAAAAAAGTGATGAAACGTTTACATTTTCTATTACGACAGAGATACTTCAAAATTATATTATTTACAAAATAAAAAAGGTCACTTCGTAAAGGTCAGAAATGATTACGGAGTAAAGTGTTCAGTCACATGAAGTATAATAAGTAATATAACAAAAATGCAAATGCGAAAAAATATTATAATTATAGACTTATAACTGTAGCTATGCGAAGTGAAACGTCCTTTCAAAAGATCTTTTTAGTCAATGTGTTAGAATATCACCCGGTATGTCACTTTCGAAGTCCAGTCTCAGATACAGGGTGTCTTTAAATCATCTGTGACTGAAACATTTAAGCAAATTAATCCTTGCGTATTCGTGTAAATGTACCAGCATGTTTGGGAAAAGGATTTACTAAATCGACTAACAGCATCATCCTTTCTCACTTGGTAGATAATGAACATCTTATCAAAATAGAGGAAACTTTCTCTGTTTTCCATCAAGTTCCAAAAAATCTACCTGAAGGAGCTAGATTACGGCTACTCCAAATAGCCGAAGTCATCTGGATCAACTCCAGAAAACCAAACTTATGTATCCAGAAAAAAAAGGTATATCCAACCTCTATGTTTATCTTGGCCTACGACTGGATCACCGGATACCTTAACTGAATATTATAAACCTCTCACCCTCCCTTTTTTGATTACCTCTATCTTAATCTTCACATCCATCATTCCTAATTCGTTTATCATAATTACCTTGATAACGCCCCTTTTGTTACGTATTATATTCAGACAATACTAATACTATTTATCATTATTAGCTCAATTGACAAGATGAAATTCTCCTGCTATGAATTCTATCCACACGATCCAATGATTGATTCATACGCCATTTGTTCCCTCAAGATACTGGAGCTCATGTGCACCACTGGTTTGAAATGAGAGTTTTCCGACTCCTCGAGATGGACTCTTCATGTCCACCAATCCGGTTAAATTACCGAACATTCGTTTTTCATCCTCTCAACTTCGTAAACAACACCGGTGCAACTAAAAGGCAGTGAGTATGACGACCCTGATAGTGGTTGTTTATACATGGCCATGTGAGAGCATTTGAAGAGGGAAAGCGGACTCTCTACACCCTCGTCTTTATCAAGGCATTTGGGGCCATTGATATAATGACTACCAACTTGTGATTCATGTAAACTAGTTTCACTGAAACATATTTTTAGATTGAAATGAATTTTAATCCATAAGTTAAATGGTTAAGGATACATTTTTGTAAAGACAAATGAGATCATTAAATCATTAGGGTAGAAATAATTGAATAACTACAATAATTTACTTCATATCTGCTAGATCTGTTCTATCATAGTTTAAAATGTTCAATATGACCTAGTTTTCAACAATCAGTGTTTTGATAGGACATTTCCAGGTCTGTGACAGCATCAATCAAATGAAATACTTTGTCTGAGACATGGATCTTCTTTACAATAAATAACGACATTCTAAAATCCAAAATCTACAGGATTAAAACAATCGTATAGATGGTTCCTCTGTAGCTCGTTGATGGTGGTTCGTACATGATATAGAGTTATAAAGTGATGTATTCGGACGGATTGATCCAGATCTTTGAGACGAAGTGTGAGAACAGTTTGAACTATCATATGTGATACATTTGATCCTAAATAAATGGATCGCAGTATTTTCGACTACTAGTTGAATAGGTGATAGATATAACTGAAAGCTTCGTTCGCTTTATCTTTTATACACTTTGTTAAGTCAATTAGAAACAATATAGAATATGGTAAATGTTATGAATTTATAAAATGAAATAGAACGTGTATACTAATTCGTTATTGATTTCTATGTCCGGCTATTTATCACGTGAATTATCCACCAATCGAAATACGATTTGTCTAATCTTAACATTGTACTAAATCAATGACGTTCAACTGGTATGAGCATTCGAACGTCCTTATTGATCCTTTGTCCGCCTAGACCTTCCAATTGAGTCCAAAAACACCAATTACAGCTTCTGGTAGGCGAATAATTTATTTCAAGCATGCTCGGTTTATATTCCAGATAGACAGACCACGCCATACCATACAAGAACAAGCCAAATGTGGCTGTGAACGTGGGATACAATAATCAATAAACTGAATATAATTTAGGGATAGTAATTCGTATAATAATAATAATTGATAGGTCGAAATGAAGCTTATAATAATATGAATATAGATATAAACAATCTAATTAATTATCAGAAAAGGTTTTTTTGATATTTAGTATTTTCATAGTTGAAAGCGTGAGTCAATGGAAACTAGACTATCATGGAAAACCTGGAAGCACTGGACGGCCGTTTCGTCCTATTATCGGACTTCTGGGTTCGAATCTCGCGAGTGCAGGATCGTGAATGTGCACTGCTGAGGAGTCTGATAGAATAATCGTCCATTAATAGATCCCGGAAGTTACCTGTACTTATGTCTTCACTAGGATATAACAGTAAACGTATGCATCAATCCCAGTTAGTACATTGTACATTAAATTGACTGGAATAATATAAGTATCAGTGAAAAAAGGGTAAAAATAGAGAACATGTTTGATATAGAACGAACTAAGTCATTTTTATTGATATCATGTTTTCATGTGATCACCACTGACTTTTATCCCACCTAAATTTATATAAGTCAGTAAAAGATATGATTGTTTCCTGTTGACCATCTCTAACCGTCATCTTATCTTAACATAGTACACATAATGTGGAATCACCTAGACTGGTGGCCACATTATAACATGATCGATAGGATTCGGTCTGCACTAAGAAAGACCTGATATACATGACATTGATTATCACCCAGTGATCAATCAATTATACATACATTTTAGTCCTATATGAGATCAGTCGCGCCCCTGATAGGTCACTGATAACATCTCTGCCTGTGAAGCTGGATGACACAGGATTGAATTCACTATGGAACATCAGTTCCCTCAAGATTACAGATACACCTTGTTGACAAGTGCTAAGTAGCACAAAAAACTAGATCCAAAGTTTCCTATTAGTTACTTCCAACCACCATCTTAGATATAATTCTGCCTTTAGCTCATTTCTATATATTATAATAAAGTTGTTTTAATATGTTGTTTGTTTTCATTTAAATGACTGTAGAATAGAATAGTAAAGAAAATATTTATCTAAGTAAAAATTAGATACCCGTTTTTTTCTTTTTCTTATTTCATTTATCATAGTAACCAAATTTTTATTTTTATAAGAAAAATAAAAGTTTACATCAGAAGGGTGGGAGAGGGGGTTGGTGTGTGTGGAGATTTTAATAGTTTATTAGTTGAATTCATGAGTTTTATATTAGGACGAAGTAGTTGTCAAATGCTTCAAGGTTTTCTATAGTGATCTAGCTTTCATTGATTCATGTGCTCATTATTGACTGAATTCAAGAGGTATTTCTTGGAGTTCTAGTGTAAAGCAATAACCAATAGAGTTCAACTATGTCTGTTGTAAGATAATAATTCACTGAAAACAATGGTTGATGATGGTGCAATTTCTTGGATTAGTTGAAGTTAGACACTAACACCATTGGATGACGGCTCAGAAGTCTAGAGCTTAGGCTTTCACGTTCACTACTGAGAAATCCTATACTAGAACGAAACGGCCTTCTAGTACTTTCAAGTTTTCTATGATTATCTAGATTTAATTGACTGATGAATTCAACTATTAAATTACTACATTCTCCACAAAACTCTTTTCTCATATGTAAGATAAGTTCAATATAAAGTATTCTAGATCTAACTCCAAGTTCATACTATGTTAACTGGATTTTATACACAAAAATATTCCATATCATGAATCTGTGGAAATGCGTCATATCTTGTGAACTTGTGCCCTTTTAATCTATAACTCGAAGATGCCACCAATTAGAGTACAGGGAATTACCGACTGGACTAATGACGCATAAAACTTGTACGAGCAGTCTAGAGTCCTTATCGGTCTTTCTTCCTGCCTTTATAATCTATAACGTGACGATGCCGC